TATCATCACCTTAATGCAGAATGCCAGGCAAATAACAAAATACAAAGATGAGCAACATATACAGTGGATATAAAAAGTTTGCACACCCCTGTTAAAATGTCAGGTTTCTGTGATGTAAACAAAATGAGACAAAGATAAATAATGTCAGAACTTTTGACCTATAAACTGTACAACTCAATTGAAAAACAAACTGAAATCTTTTAGGGGGAAAGTAAACATAAAAAATTAAAATAACATGGTTGCATAAGTGTGCACCCCTCTTAGAACTGGGGACACACATGCCATCATTTAAAGTGCCTCTGATTAACCCCAAATAAAGTTCAGCTGTTCTAGTAGGTCTTTCCTGACATTTTCTTAGTCGCATCCTACAGCAAAAGCCATGGTCCGCACTCTGCAGAGAGCTTCCAAAGTAGCAGAGGGATCGCATTGTTAAAAGGTATCAGTCAGGAGGAGGGTACAAAAGAATTTCCAAGGCATTAGATATACCATGGAACACAGTGAAGACAGTCATTATCAAATGGAGAAAATATGGTGCAACAGTGACATTACCAACAACTGGACGGCCCTCTAAAATGGATGAAAAGACAAGAATAAAACTGGTCTGGGAGGCTGCCAAGAGTCCTATGGCACCATTAAAGTAGCTGCAGGAGTATCTGGCAAGTACTGGCTGTGTGGTACATGTGACAACAATCTCCTGTATTCTTCATATGTCTGGGCTATGGGGTAGAGTGGCAAGACGGAAGCCTTTTCTTACGAAGAAAAATATCCAAGCCCAGCTAAAAAACACATCAGAAGTCTCCCAAAAGCATGTGGGAAAATGTGTTATGGTCTGATGATACCAAGGTTGAACTTTTTGACCATAATTGCAAAAGAAATGTTTGGTGCAAAAACTACACTGCACATCACCAAAAGAACACCATACTCACAGTGAAGCATGGTGGTGGCAGCATCATGCTTTGGGGCTGTTTTTCTTCAGCTGGAACTGGGTCAAGGTAGAGGGAATTATGAATAGTTCCAAATACCAATCAATATTGGCACAAAACCTTCAGGCTTCTGCTAGAAAGCTGAGCATGAAGAGGAACTGTCGGGGCAGGAACGATGGAATGGGCAGGCAGGCTTATGGTACGGTCACGCCACGACTGACAACAGCCACTACCCACAGACCAGAGTCCCTCAGGGCGTGGAGTCTAAGCCCCAGGCTACCCTTCATCAGGGCCCCTGATGGTGGGGATGGACTTGACGCAGCCTGAGACCAGGTCGCGGCCCCCGAGTAACCCCAGCTGCGGTAACGACTGCCGCCAATGGCGTACAGCTGGTGGGAGCTAGATGGGAATACGTGTAGTGTACTCAGACAGGCTGGGTCAATAACAACGGAGCAGACAGTACTAGACGGTAGGCAAAGAATACTCAGGTCACGGGCCGGGTTCAGCAACGGGAAGTCAGGTAAAGGGTTCAAGCAGCGAATAGTCTTGTCCAAGCCGAGTCGGTTACCAGGAGAGCAACGAGAACAGAACTAGAGCTTGCGACAAGGAAACATACAGGACACGAATGCAGAAAGCACTTGCAGACAGCAGGTTTAAATGTGCTCAACCACACCCTTCTGAGGAGGAGCCGCAGAAGCCTGAAGGCATAAAGGTTCCCACCATGCTTTGCGGAAACCCAAGATGGATGACAGCACATGGAGATGCACAAGCTCTGAAGAAAGGTAGGACCTTGACAGGAACTTTCAGCATGACGACAACCCAAAGCATACATCCAAATCAACAATGGAATGGCTTCACCAAAAGAAGATTAAAGTTTTGGAATGGCCCCGCCAGAGCCCAGACCTGAATCCGATCGAAAATCTGTGGAGTGATCTGAAGAGGGCTGTGCACAGGAGATGCCCTCGGAATCTGACAGATTTGGAGTGTTTTTGCAAGGAAGAGCGGGCAAATATTGTCAAGTCAGGATGTGCCATGCTGATAGACTCATACCCAAAAAGACTGAGTGCTGGAATCACATCAAAAGGTGCTTCAACAAAGTATTAGTTTAAGGGTGTGCACACTTATGCAACCATATTATTTGAACTTTTTTCCTGCTTAAGGAATTGTATTTTTGTCCATTGAGTTATGAGACCAACACAGCTTTGTTTAGCAAGGAAGGAAACTTGATTTTTCTCTGCTGCATTCAGTAATCATACTGCACAACACATAACACATCTAAAATGCATGTGCATTATTAAACATTTAATATGCATTGCATTGCATTAAGTTGCATTTTTATGCATAGCATGTGTTTTCATGCCATTTTATTGTGAAGTGACAGGTCCCTGGAAGAGTCAAATTACTAAGAACAATATTTTATATCATGAGCTCATCTTACTGTCATGTTGCTCTCTTCTTCTATCAGCGTGCTCCTTGCTCCAAAGCTAACTAGCTCCTTTTACTGATTCTCCATTCTGAGCTCTAATGTTCAGGAACTACAAGACCTATTTTTTTAAGTAAAATATAAAAGATAAGGTTGTGTCAAATAGACAACATGTCAAGCTTTAAACTGGCACCCACCCTTGAAACCATGAAAAACTGCAGTACCCAAATTTGTTTACAGGCAATATTTTAAAAGCTCATCAATTTGGAGTTAACACGGAATGATGACCCTAGAATTATTGATCTCATCTCACCCCTTTATGCATGGCGATATCTAATGTGTGGTACAATCATACTTTTTATGTGTGCACACCCAACATGTGCATTTGTGTTTGTAAGTGTGTATACATGGGAGCAGAGGGCTTTTAACCAATTGAGGTTTTACCTCCTTCATGACCAGGGCGATTTTGCTATTAAGCACTGCTCTTTAACTAGCAATTGCTTGGTCATGCATCACTGTACCCCAGGGTGGATAAAAATCAATGATTTTTTAAACAAAAATCAAAAAAATCTGATTTTTTTTGATTTAAATTGGATTTTTTTGATTTAAATCGGATTTTTTTGATTTAAATCAGATTTTTTTAAATAAAATGCTTTTTGAGGAAAATATATTACCATCCAAAGGTTATTCCATCATGAAATAAAGATTAGTTTTTTAATTATGTAGAATAAGGCTTTATATGTTTCATTTTTTTGGTAAATAAATTCCATGAATCCATTCACAATGTCATGCTCTTCCAGAGATTTTTGTAATATTATTGGACAGTTTCTCTGCCTACAAGATATGATCACAGATTCTCGGTTTACTTTTGCAGTTCTCAAAACTGAATTTGACTCGGCGGAGATCACATGCCTCTTCTTCACAGCAAAAATGTTATAACATGAACAGAGTTAAGAAAAAGACCTTCATCCTAACTTCTACAAACCTATGAATACAGAATCAACCCCTTCAGTGCTAAGTTTCAAGACGTTCAGTGAATAGAATAGAAACAATATTTTTCTGATTGTTTGGAGTGGAATAGATCTGCACAAGAAGAAAGTGAGACTAAGTGTGAGGAGGAAGGGGCTGACAGTGTGAGGAGGAAGGGGCTGACAGTGTGAGGAGGAAGGGGCTGACAGTGTGAGGAGGGAGGGGCTGACAGTGTGAGGAGGGAGGGGCTGACAGTCTAAGTTTCTTCAAATATATATATTTTGTTTAGCCAAATTAGTTAACAAACATGGATGTTTGTTTAAGCAAATATCATATGCTGAACAGAAAAGTTGTCCAAATATGAATGATTAACCTATTAAACTGGGGATAAAAAAACTAAAAAAACTAATATGAAAAGTTGTTATTCTAAAAATCTTCATCTACTTGCATATTAAAGTTATACCAGCAAGAATTAGTCTTTATGTAGAAAACTAGGATTTACATCAAGCCTTACTGACTAGTGATTTACATCGTGATTTAAATCAGTTTAAATTAAATCAAATCCACCCTGCTGTACCCAAATTAAATTTATATAATTTTTTTGTTCAAAGATTTTATTGGTTTTAACAATAAAGGGTAAACAGGACAATGGGGGTATACAATTCTCAAACAGAAAATTGCGTAGGTACAAAATTAGGTAACAGTAACAATAACAAATGAGACCTTATAGGCAAGGGGAGAGAGAAGGGGGAGGGATAGGGGTGGGTAGGTGACTCCACGGTTAAAGCAACAGAAGAACTTAAGATGGGTAGAAGGCGGTACCAGCGTAGCTTAAGGTATATGTTATGGGTTGAGGAGTGAGTCGTCAAAGTTAAGCGGGAGAAAATAAAATTTATATAATTTTTTTCACACAAATAGAGCTTTCTTTTGGTGGTATTTGATCACCACTGGGATTTTTATTTTTTATTACATAAATGAAAAAAAAGACTGAAATTTATGAAAGAAAATTTTCGACTTTCTGTTATAAAACATATCCAATCAAAAAAAAAAAATCTAATTTCTTCATAGATTTAGGCCAAAATATATTCTGCTACATGGCTTTGTTAAAAAAAAATCCCAATAAGTGTACATTAATTGCTTTGTGTGAAAGTTATAGTGTCTACAAACTATGGTATATATACTGAAATATAAATCTTACTGTGTTCTTGTCCTGATTGGTGGTGGCACTTTTGTTAATCCCTTGGGGATTATGATGTTTGATAAAAGCTTCCTTTATCAAGGAGAGGGAGGTACCCTTTTTCCAGGGGCAGACTGACAACTCATGGGACCCCCGGGCAATAGGGGATCATGGGGCCCCTGTGTCCTTGCCCAAACTCAAAAAAGCCTATGAAAAAGGTACCAGGGGCATTTCATGGAGCCCCCTACTGACCCCAGGCCCTCAGGCAGTGCCCGAGTTTCCAAGTGGTCAGTCCGCCCCTGCCTTTTTCTATAAATTTAGATGATAGAATCTCCCCTTGTTCTTTATATGTCTCCACTTTGGAACAATTTCTCCTTAGCCTGTTGAATTGTCCACCTGGCAATATAGTGTATATGTGTATATATATATATATATATATATATATATATATATATATATATGTGTGTTCCAATCATCTCCATGGCTACAGGTATATGAAATCAAACACCTAGGCATGCAGACTGCTTCTACAAACATTTGTGAAAAGAATAGGTCACTCTCAGGAGCTCAGTGAAAAGTGGAAGCAACTGGGAACAACAGCAACTCAGTCACGAAGTGGTAGACCACGTAAAATCATAGAGCAGGGTCAGCGCATGCTGCAGTGCACAATACGCTGAAGTCGCCAAACTGTCTGCAGAGCCAATAGCTAAAGACCTCCAAACTTCGTGTGGCCTTCAGATTAGCACAACAGTGCATAGAGAGCTTCATGCAATGGGTTTCTATGGCCAAGCAGCTGCATCCAAGCCTTACATCACCAAGTGCAATGTAAAGCGTTGGATGCAGCGGTATAAAGCTTGCTGCCACTGGTCTCTAGAGCAGTGGAGATTGTTCTCTGGAGTGATGAATTGCGCTTCTCTGCCTGGCAATCCAATGGACATGTCTGGGTTTGGAGGTTGCCAGGAGAACAGTACTTGCCTGACTGCCTTGAGCCAAGTGTAAAGTTTGGTGGAGGAAGGATTATAAGGGGGGGTCGTCTTTCAGGGGTTGGACTTGGTCCCTTAGTTCTAGTGAAGGGAATGCTTAAGGCATCAGCATACCAAGACATTTTGGACAATTTCATGCTCCCAACTTTGTGGGAACAGTTTGGTGATGGCCCCTTCCTGTTCCAACATGATTGCGCACCAGTGCAAAAAGCAAAGTCCATAAAGACATGGATGAGCGAGTTTAAGGTGGAGGAACTTGTCTGGCCTGCACAGAGTCCTGACCTCAACCCAATAGAACACCTTTGGGATGAATTTGAGCAGAGACTGCGAGCCAGGCCTTCTCCTCTGACATCAGTGTCTAACCTCACAAACGCGCTTCTGGAAGAATGGTCAAACATTCCCATAGACATCCTCCTAAACCTTGTGAACAGCCTTCCCAGAAGAGTTGAAGTTGGTATAGCTACAAAGGGTGGGAAAACTCAATATTGAACCCTATGGACTAAAACTAGGATGCCATTAAAGTTCATGTGCGTGTAAAGGCAGGCGTCCCAATACTTTTGGCAATATAGTGTGTGTGTATGTATATATATAAAATTATTATTATACAGTATTTATAAAGTGACAATAGTTCACTCAGCGCTGTACATTACAAAGGGGGACAGAACATGTGACAGAACAATACCAATACAATGCAAAACATGAGGGGATCGAGGGCCCTGCTCTTTCCAGCTTACAATCTACAATATATATATTCCACTGCTAATAAACATCACAACTAACTTAAGTGTTACCTTTATCTAAAAATAAAAATGTGAAATAGTTAAAAAAAAAGGCATTTAAAAAAACATGTTTGTTTTGTCTGACACATTTATTTGATACATATACTGATCATTCTAATTTCTACGTGGCCTAAGAGAGGAAACCAATAAATGTAAAAATGGACAAAAACACAACCTCAGCTACATTCACAGAGTACACACAGTACAAAAGAGAAAATGAGATGAAAATGAAAGAAAGTTAGATCACTCATAATGCAGGTAATTGATCATGCTGTGAACTCTCCTTCTGGGAACTTTTCATCCCTAAAGAACTCTGCATATGATGAGGTCATCCTTTGATCACATAGGGTTTCAGTGTCAGCAAAGAAGAAAGCATACAAGATAAGGAGTTCACAAAGGAAGTCTGTGCCATTGCCGTTGCATTTATCGCTATTGAAAAATGCATCCAACCCAGTATTTAATTTACAATTTAATAAACAAATAATTTACTTTGTTAAATACACTTAAAGCTTAGCACATAATTTGTGACCACAAGTCCAATACACGTCAATTAAGATAACACATTCATAAAACCTTTACATAATTGTGTGTTTTGTTGGCTTTTGATGGAATATTACATGACAGTTTAGTTCAAAAAGTATTGAATGTTGGTACTTCTGAACTCTTGATGACCCTAGCAATTAACTCAGTTTCTATTTGAATTTCTGAATCTATATCGCATTTATGAAAGTTTCACACTGGAGGAGAAAGCAAAAATAAAGCTGAATGTATATGATGAACACACTGTGCTACACATACCTAGTAGATCAAAAAGAAAGGGTCATTAGGAGTTCAGTAGAGCCCCACATGGAAAAGCAGTATGACATAGCAGTATGAGACAGCAGACAGATGCCTTCTTTTTTTTTTTTATACAACTTCGCCACAATAAAATCTAGTGCTGGATATACATTAGGCAGTTTTCTCTTGTTTTCACAAATCTGGAGATTGCCTTATATGTTCTAATTATGTCATGGGTGACGCCATTTTTGTCTCATTGTGAAAATGCTAGCCACTTGCCGACCTGGTATGTCACTGGACTTCAAGTGATTGTACTGGGATGATGGCTGGAGCTTCAGGTACTGTTTTCTAGAGCCAACAGTCGGCACTCTTGTAATAGCAAGCAGAGCGGCTAACTAGCTGCTCAGTTGCTATTACAAGCAGCGGGAGGGCCAGCCTTCTGCGGCTTCAATGGGATCTCCAGTCTACGGGTTACTATACCATAGAACCCAACAAAGATAGGATAAGCTATGTTGGGCTCTATGATATACTGCCCCGGAAGCGATGACCTTACATGACTTCCAGTTTACTCGGAAATAAATTGCACAATTTTTTTAAAAGAAAAGCATTTAATCAGACTGATCTCGGTGTGATTAAATGATTTTAAGGGCAGAGGAATGATTTGGGGTCTATTTGCTTATTGCTGTTCCTTGTGACAGAAATAAAGTGATTAAAAAAAAGATTTTAAAGCGACAGTGTAAAAAATAATTAATTAAAGTGCCCTCTTCTTGCTGTGTTTGCGTTGGTCCCACACACACGCAAGCAGCAATCGTCCCAAACATATTGCTGTGAATGTCAGATCATGGGCAGTGATTCTAGCACCAGAACACCTCTGAAAATCTAAAGTGGTAACCTGCAAAGGCTTTTAAAGAGTTGCCTACGGATAGTAAAATGTACGTCATTAGTCGCAGTTGCATGGGCGGGTGCAATTTTAAAGTGTGACATGTTTCTGATCCTGAAGAAACCATGTGATTATCGTGGTGTAACGCGTAGAGCGCGGTGACACATTTTGGGTTAGAGAGCGGTGGCGCATTTCCGGTTCCTGTTCTACGCCATCTTGATACACCCAAAATCCCTTAGTAGACCCATAGCACATGGAAAACCACTGGAGTGTACCGGATTGAGTGTGAGTGTCCATTTGATTGGCGTTTTTATGTCATTTATTAAACGTTATTGCACTATGGAGGTCTCCTTTGTCTATTCCTCTATATACATCCATTATGCCTGAGCCCCACCACGTGGATTGTAAGTGTAGAGGACCTTCAGCCCTGCAAGTGGAATCCTAGTGGAGCCAGGTTTTGAGATTCAGGTGTGGAACATCTAACGAGCTGTGGCCCCTAGGGGTCGAGTTAGGGAGGTGAGGAGGCACTCTAGCCATTTAAGGATAATCACACTAGAGTGTCACCAAGAGCACATATCAAGTTGGGAGTGAAGAAGTGAAGCATGTTTTGCAGTATTTGCACATCCATCATTTGCACATATTGATTGGCACTTTTATTGTGGACTGCATCTTTTTTATTTATTTATTTATTTTTTTTTACTGTATATTGAGCACTTGCCACTTTATTATTAGACTGAGTTTCACATCACCCATTCATCTTCACTGTATTGGTCTGGTTAGCCGTTTGGTTGGCATTGTTTTGCACTTTAGTGGATTGCATTATTAATTGCATTTACATTTATGTTAAGCACTTGTTACTTTGTATTTATTGTGTGATATATCACGGTTGTTCAGGAGATTGTTCTGGTTAGCCATTGGTTGGCACTCCAGATAATATTTCACTACTATCACTAGATTATATTTATATTTCATCATTTTGTTGTATATAATCATATATATTTATTTTCTGCTTATTACTGCACATGTTTAGATTTGCATTCTTATGGAGATATGGATTTGTAGTTTTTAGTACATAACTCCTACAGGTTTAGTGGTTTGTGTAATTTCTTTTTATTTTCTTTTTTTTTTTTTATTTATTCATCTATTACTGCACTTTGTATTTATATTTTGCATAGCGCTTCACCATTTTTTACTTTATTTGATGCAATTTTAAAGTGTGACATGTTTGTTATCTATTTACTTGGCATAACATGATCTTTTATATTTTACAAAACAATTAGGTTATTTATTGGCTTTAAAATTTAAAAAAGTGTATTTTAAAAAAACAATTGCATTTGAAAAACCGCTGCGCAAATACCGTGTGACATAAAGAATAGCAAATACCCATAGCAATACCCACCAGTTTATTCTCTAGGGCTTCTGTTTAAAAAAAATAAATAAATAAAAAAAATATATATATATATAATGTTTGGATGTTCTAAGAAATTTTTTTAGCAAAAAATGCTGATTGTTACATGTAATCAAAAAGTGTCAGAAAAGGCCTAGTCTTTAAGTGGCTAGCTTCCTTCTGCTTTCAATACTTTGAGTCACATTTTCCCCTTGGCAGTGACTCAAAGTACTAAAACAAGACAATCAGTACTAAACTTAACCATTTCAATACCGGTCAATTTTACCCCTTCCTGCCCAGGCCATTTTTCACGTTTCAGCGCTCTCACACTTTGAATGACAATTGCGCGGTCATACAACATTGTACCCAAACTAAAATTTTATCATTTTCTTCACACAACTAGAGCTTTCTTTTGGTGGTATTTAATCACTGCTGGGGTTTTTATTTTTTGCTAAATTAACAAAAAAAGACCATAATTTTTGAAAAAAACACGTTTTTTTCTTTGTTTCTGTTATAAAAGTTTGCAAATAAATAATTGTTCTTCATAAATTTTAGGCCGAGATGTATTCTGCTGCATGTCTTTGGTGAAAATAACCCAAATTAGGATGTATTATTTAGTTTGTAGGAAAGTTATAGAGTTCACAAACTATGGTATAGATCTGAATATTGATCAATCCTGAAGTACTGACAGCCAATGTAATTTCTTGAGGTCCAACAATGTCAGAACAGTACAGATATCCCCCAAATGATATCCCTTTTTGCAGAGTAGACAGTCCGACGTACTTCATAAGAGGCATGGCGAGTTTTTTGAAGTTGTATTCTTTTTGTCATAATTTTTCGGAAAATGAAAAAATTTAAAAAATTATTTTCACTATTTTTTTTTTTTACATACTGTCACCAGTGCAGTACAGCATCATCATATAACTGGCATGGCGGTGATCAGGGACACTGACTGGTGACAGTGTGAAAAAAAAAAAATATATATATATTTTTTTTTTATTATTATTTTTAATTTTTTATTACATTTTTTTTTTTTTTTTTTTAAGATTTTTTTTTAAGATTTTACTATGACCAAAGTAGTACAATGTTACCATAGTAACATTGTACTACTTTGGGGAAGTGATCAGTATTTTTTTTTTTTTTTTTTTTTACACAATTTGCTTATAGCAAAGAATTACTTTGCTATAAGCAAG